CTATTACAAAAGACATTAAATATTGTTTATGGTAAATAATGACATGAAAATAGACACACACAAAAAATAGCACAATGTTTTAGACTAGAGATAAGCAATTAACATTTTTATTTAAAACAAAACTAACGGTGTTTGATATATATTTGGTAGAAAATGTGCATGCTTCGCTTATCATACAAAGAACGGAATACAAGCTGCGCGTCAATAATGTACATATATTTTATGAAAGCGCAAAACAACAAACCTTTCTCGTCCAATTTTTGTAACGAGTTAATTGTTTATTAAAACTTCAATATTTATCAAATGAAATGAACCCTGATTATGCAAGAATAAAAAATTATTTGATATATTTTGCTGGTAAACAAGACTCGACTTGTACAAAACAATAAAAACGTCACTTCGACATCGCAACAAAAAGGGTAAATTACATAAAAAAATTAGCCTTCCCGAGATTCTATCTCAAATAAGATGACATACTTCATAAAGAAAGTAATAATTATTGCTTCTAAATTTTTATATAAAGAAGTAGATATTCGTAATGGAAAATGTATTGTATTCTTGTGTCGTCACGTTAAATTCCTTACCAACCCTCTCAGTCTAACGTAAGAATTCATCAGTGTGATGATATATTACACTCATGTTGTACATCTCATTTATTATATAAAAGTAAAATATGAAGAATGATAGTTACTGTGTCGGGTATCCAAGCATACGGCATATAACTCTCGCTTCTTTTGTATCAAAACTGTCATCGCAAACTGTACCCCAAACTCCATTATGTCTTACACGAACGGTGCCATACATTCCACTAGTAAGCTGAATATCGGGCACACCTGAAGGAGGCACTTCTGTAAAAAATAGACAATGCAATTTCCTATATAACTCCTTTTTCCGCCTAAACTGTGAAGATTCATAAAAAATTATATCCTAAAATGAGAAGTTTATATGTTCTGCAAAGGTCAAAACATAGGGCTGTGCGGCATATTTTCAACATTCATATGGCCCGAACTTCTAACAGTTTAAACTTAAACTAAAATTTTGTACTATCCCTCCCTTTACTTTGGGTCTTCCTCATAATTTAATTTCTCTGCTTTCCATGTATAGTTTATATTGATAACATTCCCAAGTTATCTCTCTATGAGATGAAACATAGAGATCATAGCTGGGAACTAGTACGTAAACAAAACAAAATATCTATGAATATTATATATCTCTTCAAAAGAGGCTTGGTTTGTGAAACAGCTGAATTTACAAAGTGCAACCTTGATATTAAATGTTAAAACGTATTATTATTGTGACTTTTCGATGAATGTATCATCAAAGAACGTAAATACTTTCAGACAAGCAACAAATGTTTTAGGAATTTATCATATCAATTTGCTAACACCACCGCTGAAATGAAATGTGTAACTCTCAAAATAATCGATTCCTGAGTAGTAAATGATTCTGTATAAAACATAAGTATTTTGAAAATTCACTAGTTCACTAGAGTTAGAATATAGAATAGAGGCGAAAGATACCAACAGGTTATTAAAATTGTTAAGTCGAAAACGTACTGACAATGCCATTGGAAAGAACAAAAAAATGACAAAAAGCCAGTCAACAGGAAAAACCCCAGGAAAAGGACTGAGCAATACGAGCCAAACCAAAAACTTGAGACGTTCTCAGATGCTCCTAGAGGGAAAACAGATCTATATGTCACAACTGTCGTGTTGCTCATATCAGTACAAACCCTGTGATAAGTCTTATTAGGAAAGTCACATTCGAGGAATCATTATAGAAATCAGAGTCCTGGATATTCGTATCAAATGGAGATATATACTCCATATGTAGGCGCTACCGAAATGTTGCTAGATAGAAGTGGAAGGTTGGCAATTTTGAAGCTGACATCTCATATCTTTTGTGGAAAAGATTTGTTCTCAATCGACCCTCATTGTCATTTTCTAGATGTAAGTCAAGATTTATTTCTATCTGTTCAATCATTTTTTTTTAAAAGATGGGTAACAGTCGTTCAAATTCATCAAATTTTATCATGTTCATATGATTTAAGGAACAAGTCGGCAAGAAGGGAAACATATTTTGTTCTCATTGGAAATCCAAATAATTGTTGAAAACACCACGTCCTCTAAACGTGATAAAAGTGTTATGAATCAATATATCATGCATCTTGACAATGACACCTTCAGAAAATGTTTTGTTGATTCAGAACAGTTTTTGTATCCCTCCATCCGACAAGAAACATTTACGTTGGCCATCGTTATTTTATGAAACAATGAAGGGCCAATTTTTTCAATTTGTCCGTAGTTTGGTATTGAAAATACATGTGTATGTTTTAAAATCATTGAAAGAGGAGAGAGACGAAGATTATATATACTCTAACAGATAAAGGGAATTTCGTAGTATCATCATATGAATCAGGGCTCCCCAAATTTTGATTCCCGGCTTTGATCGTGGATAAAATTAATGTTAATAATTCAGATCGAGTCTTCCTGGATCACGTGAAAGACTTGGCAATATAACGTTGTTTGCAGGGTACTTTGGGTATCCAAGACAGGGGAGAAAGATCAATTTTGTTTTTCAATTTGGGTTAAATTTCAAAAGGAAATTAGAACAGACATTTGATTATTCAGGATTTTCTGCTTGGTAAGTGTCATTGGTATATGTTGAGTTTCCAAGCGAATTGTCAATACCTTATCCTTTTATCAATCAGTTTATGTAATGTGATTTACAAACTAGAGGCTCTTAAGAGTCTGTTTCGCTCACCTGTATCTACTGTGGTTTTGAAAATCATGTATAGTAAGGTTTAAATTATAATGAATAGTATTAGATACCATAATAATGATTGAGGTCAAGTTTGGTTTAATTTGGCCCAGTAGTTAAATAAAAAGTAGGTCATCCAATTGTAGTAATACAATAGTTACTAAAGACCACATATCATTATTTAAATTAGTTTTCATGTTGTGACCATTTGAAATTGTTTTTTTTTTACAGTTTTCCCATAAACTTCTATAGTAAACCCCTATGTTCTATGTTTAGCCATGGCGGCCATGTTGGTTAGATGGCAGGGTCATCGGATACATTTTTCTATTTAGATTTCCTATTGAAAATTGTGGCTAAGTTAAATCTTTTTGGTTCAGTAGATTAGGTGGAGAAGATTTTTGTAAAAGATTACAAAAATTTAAGAAAAATTGTTGAAAATTGACTATAAAGGGCAATTACTCCTTATGGGGTCAATTGACAATTTTGGTCTTGTTGACTTATTTGTAGACCTTACTTTGCTGAACATTATTGCTGTTTTAAGTTTACCTCTATCTATAATGATATTCAATATGATAACCAAAAACTGTAAAATTTCCTTAAAATTATTAATTCAGGGGCAGCAACCCTACAACGGGTTGTCTGATTCGTCTGAAAATTTATGGGCAGATAGATCTAAATCTGATGAACATTTTCACCCCCTGTCAGATTTGCTCTAAATGCTTTAGTGTCAGAGATATAAGCCAGAAACTGCATTGTACGCCTATGTTCTACTTTTAGCCACGGCGCACATCTTAAATTGGCAGACGGAGTCGTCGAACACATTTTTTTAAACAAGATACCTGAATTATGATTGTGGCCAAGTTTGGTTAACTTTGGCCCAGTAGTTTCGGAGGAGAAAATTTTTGTAAAAGTTAACGACAGACGACGACGGAATACGCAGACGCCAAGTGATGATAAATGCTCGCTTGGTACTTTGGGTCAGATGAGCTAAAAAACAACAATGTTGTTTTTGACTTTATCTGCGAACAACAACATATATGTCATGGAAGTAGGACAAGTGCTTATCAACATTTGGCTCTTTAAAGATCGATGCGGTATGTCTATTCATAGACCCATTCAGTTTTTGCTTTCTATGATTTTTTTTCAAAATCTTCACTGTCTGCACCCATTCGAAAAGGGTATCTACTTTTTTTTTTTTTTTTTTTTTTTTTGCGTTTAGCCTATTGGCTGGCATAATCATCGACTGAATCCACCAGTACTTTGAATTTGTAGTTATGTTTCCAGTTACAATTAATGGATTAAGGCTTAAGATATTTCGAGCCTTTTAGATAACACATTCGCAGAGAAAAGTTATTAACAATGTTCAGATAACCTGTAACAATATGGCTAACATGATAATATATAAATGTGGAACTATCACAGGCTTAATTAGGGGTTGAACTTAAAGTCGTCAATATTGAGATCCTGCAACATGTGTTTGTAATTGAAAATTCAAGTCGCAATTAGTTTTGCAAAGGTATCACTAGCAGTCAATTAAGATCTGTTCAGTCTATATCAAGAATGTTCAGTAGTTGATATTTACCTGTACTCAACATCTTCTTGAATGATCTGAAATGCTACTGAACAGTACCGGATCGACTTTAATCAAGCATTTTGAACGGTACTCAAATTACAACAATGGATAAGTCTGAAAATCGACTGAAATTCTGAATAATTTATTGTTCATCCTGTTTAGATCAAACGTACCGTTTCAGACTAAAAAGGAATTACTAGCGTATAATAGGTGAAAGGTACAGATTGATCTTTGAATAGGGAGGCATTTTCGAGTGAACTGATTTATGATGAGAATATTGCCCAAGTTAATGTCATCGTGACCTTTGCTGGCAAAGGAAAGTTTTAAAAATATAATTTTCATCATTTTCATTTTCATCTTTTCCAATGAGAACCGGTCTGGGAGTTTGCGACTGGCACTATCTGAGGTGATAGATGTGCGTTTGTAATTGTTTGAATGGGGTTTGTAAAAACGATTTCCAAACATAAGTAGTACAGAGAATGAGGTCAGGAAAGGGATTGTGAATAAAGCTCTGTGCGAATGTGATGAATACCCAACGGCCTTTGCATAAAAGGAAGTTTTTTACTTTTTACTTTCATTGGATTTCCGGTGAATTTATAGCATTTAAGTCCATTATTTAGATCTTTCTTTTTTCAAATATTAAATAACTTGAAAACAATTAAATAAA